TTCATTTGTTTGCAAGTTATAAGCATTTTTATATTTATATATAAAAAGTGGATGTTTCTTGCTGTCCGGTACTGTAGTACAATTCCGGATCCGTATTCCTTTGGTTTGATTGGCTAATCACTGATAATGCCACGTGATGTGAACAATCGATTTAGTTGCAACTATCGCTATAGTTGGCTAATCGATTGGTAAAATATTTACCAACTCGGAACACTAAAGAGGATCCTACCAAACTTGATTATAATACCAAATAAATGCACGTGCTACTAGAAATACTAGCTAGTTTTACTATTACAAAGTAATATAAACGTCAGTGATCTGCGCGACAAATAGAACGAGTAGTATATATATTTTTATAATAAAACGCACCTATGGTGATTTTGCACCTACGTATTATGTTTTTTTATGTTCTTTCGTATACAAAATTTTTAACACAAATTTTTTCACGTTAGGATTAATTTTTAGGGTTAAGATTAGGGTTTGGGAAAGGTTTTGGAAGGCATAGAACATTTTTACTTAGCAGTTAGACATCTCACACCAATTAGTAAGCCAGTTTTTGAGATAATATGGGATCTTTTCCAGGAAAATAACCCTCCGAGGCTATGTTGATTTTTGAATAAAATTAAATTTGCCAGCCATCTTGTTATCCAATTTTTTTTTTTTTTTGCAGAGCTCAATAGGATAACTAAATGCTGGCAAATTTAATTTTTATTCACAAAATCAGCATAGCCTCGAGGTAATTTTTCTAGCAAAGGTCCCATATATACATAGGTGTAAAACACCCATAGATGCGTTTGAGTAAAAGTCTTTTTATTATATATTTAGTATAATCGCAATAGTATATACTATTATAGAACAAAAACCGAAGTTCTTAATTTCGCTTTGGTTTTGATCAAAATAAACAGGTTCAGGCCGGAAATTCTATACTAATCACGTGATAGGTTTTGTGATTTTGTATAAATTCTCCGTCCGAGTCAAATTTCCCTCGATAATAGCAACAATGCCAGTGTCCCCAGAAACCATCCGAGAAGAGCGTGCCGTGTCGAGCAAACTAAAGCTCCTTCGCGCCGCAAATGTTCTATCTTTCTTGTTCGTTTTTATTGCCAATGTTATTGCCCTTACCTGTCATCCTTCTTCTATTGATATCCATAAAAAACATATGACATACTTTTCACCTTCCCTGATCTTTGTTGGAATCTTTTGGATTTTGCTTAGTGCTTTATTTTTTATTTTTGTATTTTGGGTACAGTTTAGTGACTATTCTAGTATGAAGCGACTTGTGACCCAAGGAATAGGTGGCTTATTTGTTTTAAGCAATATACTAGTGTTCGGCTGGCTAGTGTTCTGGGTACATTTCATAAAAGATCTATAACGATAATATTTTTCAACATGATAAGATTTAACCGACAAAATATATTTTTGATATTAGATGCTAGAACGATTTATTATTAGCGAGGTTTTCATAATTCTTAACCTATTGGTCATATCCAAGATCCACCACAATCTTGTTGTTCAATTTCCACCTTTTTCGTTTCCTTCCTCTCAAGTCTCCAAGGTTGCTTATTTCGCACACACACCGTTCTCTATGTACCTAGGAGCCACCTTTTTAGACTTTTTTCATAATGGATTCGTTGCGTTTACCGCTAACAAAGAAACAGAAATAGTATTAGCTATTATTTCTGCTTGGCTTCTTGCAATTCTTGGTTTTGCTTGGTGTGTTACTGGCATTTTTAGTAGTGGAAGAAGAGATGGGGTCTTCAGCGCAACCATTGCCTGGTATGTATCCAGAAACAATAATTTTTAGATTGTATAAACACATAACTGCATAACATTAACTGTATGGAAGTAGGTTGAAAAACCGTGGAGTTTTCTATATCGGAATAACTCGTTGATGCCGTCACTGGAATGAATATTATTATTTACTTCTTCAAATAATTTTAAATGTTAACAGGTGTTTGATTTCTATTGCCGTACAACAACGTAACGAGAAATATTTATCGGTCCAATGCGCAATTCTCGCCATTGCTCAGCTTATAGCTATTATTACTGTTTGGATCAGATATGGTGGAAGGTTATCGGATTCACTCAGGTCTACACGCAATGCATCCAGAGAACAAAGTCCATTATTGGGAGAAGGTTGACTACATGGCCCCAATGGGCAAACTACAGGATGGTTCACTCAAATCTCTTTTCTTGTTGAAAATATTATATTTTTAAGTTAATGCTTTAATGCTTAAATTTAATGTATCGATACATAAAAGGCTTGGATAAATAACAAATAGCACAATATCAAATATTTAATTTTTGTTTTTCCATGCATGATGCAAATCAGGGTTTTGTCTATCTGTATATAATAATTAAACAAAGGGAATTCCATTTAAATGACGTAATAAACTGCTCTAAAGCCAATCAAAAAGCCTCAAAATCAATGTAAACTTTAAGTTTCACCGTGAGTTGTACAACGTTTACAAAATATTGTTAAATTAGGAAGCTGTAGAATCTTTGAGATACATCAGAGATAAGAAACACGAGTTTCTTTTTCTATTAACATCCCAATGGCCCAAGTCCCACTAGTACCCTGCAAGGTGAGCCGTGCGCTGGCTTTCTTTGCTTTATTTTAAATGCTCGAAGATTAATGCTTTTCCATTTAATATTAGTATAAAACAGGCAGAACTCTCGGGCAAGGCACTTATGCCATAGTCAAAGGTTAGTAAGGGCTCTTATTATTGTGGAATCAATGCATTATGCAAATGAGGTACTATTTGCCTCAGTGTTTGTTAATAGAAACTTCATCCAAACCTTATAATAATATTAACATTTATATATAAATCGATTTGCATGGCTACTCATATCTAGAGGCCCAACATGTATGTATGCTATTCATTATTTAACGATTCGTCGTTTGTATCCTAAATAATTATTTACAAAATGACAATAGATTGAAACTGGGAAATTTTTTGCCGTAAAAGTTATCAACAAAAAGTTAATGCAGGGAAGAGAACACATGGTTCGTAATGAGATTCAGGTTTTGAAAAAAATATCTGAGGGCCATAAAAATATTTTGACCTTGCGAGAATATTTTGAGACTCTAAATAATCGTAGGTTTAACATTTGCCATTTGAGGCAATGATCTTTTAATTTTTATCTGTTAGTATTAATTTTTTTGTATTATTTGATCGTATAATGTCTCCTAACGTTTAAATAAATCTGTTTATATAAACAGTATATTTGGTGACAGATCTGGCGCTTGGAGGAGAATTATTTGATCGCATTTGTGCTAAAGGCAGTTATTATGAGCGTGATGCTGCTAATCTTATTAAAAGCATAACAGAAGCTGTTTCTTATCTTCACAGTAATGGAATTGTTCATCGCGGTAAATATTTTTTTTATTGCTATCGTATTTAAGTAATATTCGTAGTATCAATTAATTTGTTGATTTATTTTCGTCTAAATAATTACATTAGATCTTAAGGTAACATATTTTATCATAGATTTCTTTATAATATATAATTTCATAAATATTAATGATTATATAACTTTATTAAGCCGGAAAATCTTCTCTTTACAACGGCTGACGAAAATTCCGATCTACTTATTGCCGACTTCGGACTTTCTCGAATTATTGATTCTGAAAAGTTCCATGTTCTTACCACAACATGCGGCACTCCTGGTTACATGGTAATGATATTAGAATCTTATTTTGCCGACTAATTTTATAATTGACTAATTTTTCTTGAATTATTTGTTATAGGCACCTGAAATTTTTAAAAAGTCAGGTCATGGAAAACCGGTCGATATGTGGGCTATTGGTGTGATTACGTACTTTTTATTATGCGGTTATCCGCCATTTGAACGAGAAGATAGCTATGAAGAAATGCAAGCTATCCTTCGAGCTGATTATAAATTCGAACCTCCAGAATATTGGGAAGGAATAACTGATTGCGGTAGTATCAAATTTAATATATCATGTTGAATTATTAAACCACTTACGTTATAATTTAATTCTAACGAATTGATTTATTTATTTTTTTAACAGCTAAAAAGTTTATTTCAAGTTTGTTGGTTATTAATCCGGACCAACGTCTTACTGCCGAACAGGCGCTTGAGCATGAATGGCTCAGAGAACCTCTACCGAGTCCGATCGGTGTACCGGGTGAC